GCTTCCGCGTTGCTGCTTCCAGCATCAGTCCGAGCAGGTCATTTCCGCAACCCAAGTCGTCGTCGTTGCTACCCAACCGGTCTCTTATGATTCCCATGAACTTGTTCCTTATTCTTCTCTCCAGATTCCAAATGCGGAGATTCTTCCGAGTCGGAACGTACCTGTTCGATCAAATTTCTTACGATCAGTACGAAGCCTGTTGCGAGTGGTGCAAGCGCAGTGATTGCACGACCTGAACCCGGGGATGTTTACGTTGAGGAAACTCTCGATGACGAGGATCTGCAGCTCCTTCTGTGCCACAAACACTTCCTTCCCTTCGGAGTAACTGCTGCCAAAAGCGGTATGAGAGATCACATTCGCTGTCAGCTCCTGGAATTCTCTAGCCACCTCGACTTCCTTTGCGTGATCTCCTACTGCATCAGCATCATCTTGCCACGCTTCCAGCATCGATCTGGCGCATTCGGCCATCGTTCTCGTGAACAACTGCCAAAGGTCACTTCATGCAGAGCTCAGAGTCGAAATCTAAAAACAAGCTAACGACTAACACAACGTTGCCCAGATAGATTTGCAGAACCATTAATCTCAAATCCGTCATCGAAACATGAAAGGCTATGAGGTGGTGTGTATGAATGAGGCTGATGCATTTCGCAGCTTAGTCCCACATCGCCTATTTACACTACAAAGGAGGAAGAGAGGGTGTTTAAGAGGGGCACTCGACAACCACGACTCCATACTTACCTGGACGGGGTCTATGGGCGATCAAGAAGGCTCATGGCCTAGGTCAGTGGCCTCCATTGCACTTTGGAGGCGCACTGGCTTACCATCTCCCCAAGCGGGAGAGTGGACGTCATAATTTGTGGTAGTGGGGGGTACGCGCCTGCGCGGCCCCTTTCTAAATCTTTTAACGTAAACGTGAAGAGATAGGCACTACACAATGCTGTGGTTGGCTGCCGCCTGGTATGGTTCTTTTCTGGTCTTTATGAGTAGGTTGGCAATCAAATTTCAATTTTGACTTCATTGATCATGTTATCATAAACTATTTCGTGACGTGTCATGTCATGAGATATGATAAAATTTTTCTATCAAAATGGAATTAAGAAAAACATAGACTACATAGATAATCAAAATTTCTTTGTCGATTAATTTTGGAGAATAATAACTATAATTATTAAATCATATACACAGATTGTTTAGCTATATGCAACCTTTGCAGATTTATTACCTGCACGTAAAATTTCTACATTTATACGCTTTTTTTTTTGTTAATATCAATATCTTACTGAATTGACATGTTGTTTTAGTGTCTCGATTAGAACAATAAATTTTATCCTCATTTGTATGTAAATATTATAAATAGAGTAATCAATACTGTGTTAAAATTCAACGTTGTTGATGTTTTCTGGATAACTCTTTCTATAGTTTTTATTGTTTCTATGCAAATTTAACCCAATATTCACCCTCATTTTCAGATTTTTATTAAATTAAAAAATAGTGATTAATGAAAAATGAAATATATTTATGTTTTCTGGATACTTCATTTTATAATATTTCTTGCTACGACATTTTTTTATTTTATATTCTAGTTCATAATTGAAAGTAAATTGAGATGAAATTAGTGAAATATATAGAACATAAACCTTATGAGATTCAACAACTTGTTGATTATCTTCTTTAGATTGCTTATTTATGAACTTACATAAGCATTTAAATCTTAGTTTTATTGGAGATTAGACACCATCAGAAACCAAAAAGTTAAGCTTATTAATGGAAAAGGTCACTATCTAAATGTGAACTCACCTCTTCTTTATTTTTTTTTGTCATGTGAGATTACTTTTAGTCATATCTCAATCTTCACCTCACATGAATATTTTTTTCACATAGGTGGATTATGTATGACTGTTGACCTGAATTTAGTCTTACTTTACGTCAAAATTTTGACTGTCCAACTTAATTTTAATCTAAAGTTGCAATCGACCAACTGCCATAGATGAACAAAAAAATAATCCTCACTATGTTTCAAAGAATTGAGTGGCAAGCTCAACTATTAATTATATCCTGCATTAATTGTTTAATGAGGGTGGGTTGAATCATTGTTGATTGCAATTTCATATGTCAAATTATATAGGTAATTACATCTACTTTTACAGTACAAGTGGCAGAAATAGACAAGTCTAATGGCATGCTTTGACAATCACAAAGGAACCTATGCTACAAGAATTCAATAGTTGCAAATGCAATGCAAAGCCATTATATATATATAGATTAAGCAAGAAAAACAATGAAACATGCTAATAATTAAGCTTATCCCGTATTTTCTATTGCAACTGGTAAACAACTTTGCTAGATCCATGAATACAATAATTCTCCTCACAACAAGAAGAAAGTGGTAACCAAATCTTTTATATTCGGCCGTCCTAAGTGCATGTATTCTTTTCTAGCAATGTGAGTATTTAAACACCACCTTTAATTTATTCTTCATCGTCAATACAATCGATGTACAACATATTTTTTCTAATAGATAAATCACATCTTCCTAAAATTTGAGAACCTATGCCTTCTATCTTTACCATCTAAAAGTTTTAAGCACCTCTCTTCGGTTGTGCATGATTGATCATATATATATATATATATATGCAAGCATCGCATGATACACTAAGCATATTGCAGCTTTTGTGTTGTGGCATTGTAAACATCAGCACTCACAGTTGTCTTTTACGTGGTTTCTTTCAGATGACTTTGTGCAGGTTGCGTGGGGGATGCAGCAAAGAAGGGAAGACTGACCTTGAGCTTATCCATGGCAAAGGCGGGGTTGACAACCCTTCGATGCCTCGCCCACTCCGACCCATCTATGTTGGTCAACCCCTTCCCCACGAGGGCCATCGCCGCAGGAGACGGATCCGTCCTCGCGTAGGATCCGTACTTGCTCGCCAGGACCTGTTTGATCATCTCCTGCTCGCTGATGCAGAGTAGCGGCTGCGGTCCGATCCAAAACAGAAACGTCTCTCCTGTCCACAAATCGCCTCTTAATGCTCTCATGCAAGAAGAAGAAGAAGAAGAAGAAGAGTCTAACCATATTCTGCGATCCATTTGGCGAAATGGGGCAGCACCCGGGTGGTGATATCATGCGAGTGGGTATCCAAGATGAGCTCCGCTGCAGCCCTTCTGATGCTTCTGATCTCCTCAAGTGACCCTGACCAGAACCTGTACGCAGGTCCTCTCACCCCTTGTTTCCTGTACGCTCGAGTTATCACATACGGCCTCCATGTCAGGTGCATGAACGCCTTCCAAAAGCATGAGATCAGCACCACCGAGACTGTCCCCAGAACGATGGCAAGATAGCCCATCTATCTCCGACGAGGGACGAGGTATTGCAACAGAGCGTTGTGCGTACTGATGATTGTGGAGGGAAGCAGCCGTCTTATAGCAGCCTCCTTCCTCTTGAGGTGGTGTCACGGCTGATGCAAGCGCTAAGACTTCAATTATTGTATGTGCATCACCGTCCTACGTTATATTATTTCCACTGCACTACGTCGAATGGTACAGTAGGGGAAGGTTGCAATTCCCACGCTGCATGAACTCGTCACACGCGAGACAAAGGCACGGTTTAGGGCGCGACCTCCCATCAATCTCCACGTGGCACTTCCACGAGTCGTGCCACAACTCGTGGGTGCTTTTCTGCCCTTGCACTGGCAATTGTTGACTTCCTGCCACGCGCGGAAGGTGTTTGAAAGAATTACTTAATGGGGGGTGAGGAACGGTGTTAATGAGTCGACTAATAATGATTTGGGGGGTTTGACTTCGACTGGTGTCACATGATCTACTCTACTGCAAGTGGACCCTACACATCAAACTATAATTTGTCCATAGTATATATAGATGCCATGATATTGCTAAGAACATAGCTTTATATGAAAAATAGATAAATTTACTAAAATATTTATTTATGTATGCTAAAGTTATTACATAAAAGGATATCATATTATCATTAGTCTCTATAAAATAAGAGTGATTTGATATTTCTTGATTTCGCAACTTATGAAATTGATTTGAGTCTCTTTCACTTTATAAATAGAGTTACGATACTACCATACTAATTCTTTTCCTTTTTTTCTCTTCTAATAATTCAAATAGGTTAGGATTATAATATATGTATATATAAGAGATTAGACATCATTATAACCTAATTGTTAGATATATTTTCATCTGAGACATGAATATTTAATAATATAATTAAGCAAATGATAACTTCCATCAATAAAACTTTGCATATGGATATTTTCCCTATTTAACTTTAAATTAGTTAGAAAAATACATTTGAAGTATCTATCTCCCGATTTCGATTGTCATGATTGATATTGAGACAGTATATTTGTGACCCCAATACTTCTAATTGCAGAAAATATTTATCTATAACATGAAGATTAAGATAGAACTAAAAATATTTATCTATAATTTAGCAAATTGTAATTGGTACCACTCATTCATCTAATTAAAATTCCAACAAAAACATCTGCAGATACTCCATATGTTTTTCCTCCTCCCAATTCAAACATAATTCGATATGTTTCATGAAGATATGTATGGCATGGTTTAGGTGGATGGTGACTTCCATTTTTCTTTCTTCTACAAAAAAAGAAAAAAATATTTAATTTCTTTCTTCTACATATATATATATATATATATATATATATATATATATATATATATATATATATATATATATACTAATATATATACATATACATAGGTTATTTTTTGAAAGGATTTATCTAAGATTACTTGTAATCCTTTTCGAATACATGTATTAATAATAATGAGTACAACAGTAGACTTCTTTCCCAAATACAAACAAATAAAAGACTCACTCAGAAAGTGTTAAAGAGTATGTAATCCCTCCAAATCTGCACCAATTGGCATAGAACTAACTAAGCTATCCATCACTTCAGTTCAAAGTAAGTTTTGCTGAAGCTGAATTAGGCCACTAAGTAGTGAACATATACATAAACATGCATAAAGTTCTGACTAAAGCATATAAATTTGCAATAAACATAAGTTTTAGCAGCATAAGCTCACAAAAATTATCACTTTCCATTTCATTTACATAGGAAAACTTGCATAATAATGAATCTATAATCAAATGCCGCCGTTCCAATCGATATTTAGTTATTATTATTTTTATTATTATTGATATCGCGAGATCCGGATTGAGATTTAAAAATGATTTTTAAACCAAAATACCTAGAGAAAACAAAGATGGAAGTAAGTTAGCCTTCCAAATCATTAGCATCTCACACTCTGAAACCATTGATTGATTGTTATCAGCCTCTTTGTGGTCACCAGCAGTATGGCAACCAAACCAGCCAAAAAAGCTCACCACACTGACTCTGTTCTGTGTCTGTACATCTTCGGTCCCAACCACTGCTGACATCTTGGATTTGGATTTGGATTTGGTGACTACAAGTTCTAGCATCTGTCGGCCCTCATGATCTTCAACCTCTTGACAGTGATCAGAAACAGCCTGGTCGATCACAATGCATAAGAAAAGCATCAATCAACAAAGCAATGCGTAAAGCACACGGTTTGACACAGCAAACAAGAGGAATGCATACTCCCATGGCACATCTCCGACCATCATCCAATCTCCTTCCTTGTCTTCGTAGGTCAGCACATGGTCGCAAGGCACTCGGGCAGTCTCAGGATCTGGAGTAAGTGATCACAAGTGAAGGCTCATCAGATGCATCAGCAGCATCGCAGCGAGAACTACACATGCCAACTATGCCTGTTCTTACACATGATGGAGGTCCTAAACATGCGGCCAAGTGTTTGTATTAATCCACCGTAGCTATCATGTGCATACAGATCCAGTTTTCTGCCGATTGGAATCCCCTCCATGTAAACCTTGACGAACAATCTCGGATGGCCAGTCAGAGATACTTGGTTCCTGAAGAATGAACTGTAAGAGTGGAGAACTAGCAACAGAGAGCTCAGTTATCTGATGCCGCAGGCCAAAAGATATGATCTCAGTGGGATTTTGGGTTAGCTGGAGCTACCGGATTCAGCGTAGAGTTGGAACACGAGATGTTAGGAAACTTTGTATGTATGTTAAGATGAAATGCTGGCATGCTGGTAACGATCAAGATCGGTAATCTGTGAAGTTCTTAGAGAAAACAAGAACAAGTAGAATAGAGAGGAAAGGATCAAAAGAGAAGTGGTGCACACCTTTGTTTGGAGTACCAATCAGGAGGAGAGGAGGTTAACAGGCTAAGTCCTAGGCTGAGATCTGTGCTGAAATCTCTGCTTCTTGGCTGGGTAACAGAAGATGCAGTGGAGAAAGCAGGGTGGCTGCTGCTGTCTATAGAAGAAGATGGAGAGTCATCCTTCCTCTCCATGAAAAGGTGATCTTTGTTGCAGATGATAGAGGCAAGAGGGAAAGGGAGAAAGCCAGTTGCAATGCACAAACTGGTTTTAACTAAGAAGGTTGCTGTGGTGAGAAAGCCAAGCATGCACTCACTGTCTTACTCGTTGATTAAGGCTCTTAAGCCAGAAAACGCTGGGAGCAAACTGTGTTTACATAAGCATCAATCACTCATGGTATCCACAAACATTATCGAATCTTTCGTGAGAGCTACTTCTCACCAGATTACTTCTCTTTGGTCATCATCATCATCATATCATGCAACAAAATTCTCGGGTCCATGATTACTCAGTACATTTATGCTAATGAAGAGTAGAAAAGTAGTATTTTTGGGTCACAATTTGCCTGAGAAGTCTGATAATTCCAAATGATTTAACATCATTTGCTCATGAGCAGCATGAGACTATTCAAAAGAGCTGATCAAGTTTTTGTTACACTTTACTCCTACACAAAGGTCACAATGCCACTGAATACAACTCTCTAACCACTGATCTGTCCCAATAAATGCTTGACTCTGTTCAGGCAGCAAGTTTGGTTAGACAAAGACATTTGTTTCTCCATGTATAGGAAGTATGTAAAGAGAGGCAACAGGTGAAGCAATCTTATCATGCAAGACTGCAACAGGGAAAAGCAACATGCAGCTGAAGCCATTGGTTTCTTTTCCTCGTTGGGGAGTATCTGAAGACACCCCAACACTCGGAGCAATTTTATCACACAAGACTGCCACAGCAACAGAAAAGAAGATTGCTTTGTAGTGCATTCAGGCAATTGGTATTCACTTTTGTTTCTTCCTCTCTCGCTCTCGCTCTTGGAAGAATGGAACTGAGCATTTTACTCTTGGCTTTGACAACCAGTGGATCTATCTGGACACTGGAGTACTCCATTTTCTATGGGAGCAGGATTCACGAGCATCAATACAAGCAGTAAATTGACACTAAGAACTGCTTTCTTCTAGTATAAGTCCTGAGAATGCAACAGCTTTCTTGATCCACTTGTTAGGATACAGGTGGTTCTTGTACAGTGCAAGACTAATCAATTGAAAGTAGTGATATAGAAACTGGATTAGGGATCATATGTGGGCACAAGATTTGTTGGTTAGGGGAGTCATGGCTTTGTAGAAGATGAGATTTTTTTTTTTAAACTTATTGATGGAAATCTTCAACTTAGCAACCATAAGCTAAAGAGCTATGATATATATGGAATACAAATTGACCCAAATTGACCCCTCAAACGAATTGAAACAAGACGGATCATTCAAGATTGAAGTTAGGGAAACCATTCTAATTACTTTATCAATGAAAATTTGATGAAGTAATTAGAATAACACTTTGATTCTCTTAAAACGTCACAAACTAAAAGCTTAATAAGTTAAACGGAAAAACAAAAATTTTTAGATTTTGAACGCCATAAGCAGAAAGGCTTGATAAGTTCCAAAGTTCATGTAAGAACTTAAAAATAAAATACTCACCGGTGTTAAAAGTTGAATACACTTCTGAATTGCATTCCTTATAAAGAGAGTTAGCCTTATTTATATAGTACAAAGACCAAGTACAAATGGAATGAATCCATTAAATATATTAAATAATATTTATATTCCTAATACATGAATGTAGATCACTCATGAATCTACATTGAATTGATTTGAATAATTATTCATGAATAAGTCCACAATTCTTAATATGGTCCAATATAACTGAATGAATTTTATTTTTCAAAATGGGCTAAAAATCATCCTTCTCTCAACGTTGGATTTTTTGTTCATGATGTGGACTTATTTGAATCAGATTGACTATTTTAGGCTCTTCTTGTATTCATGGAATCTTGACCAAGTTTTGACCAGCCTGCTCCTTCCAAATGTCTTTCCAATAAACAAATTAAGGTTTCTTTCATCTTCTTAGTTTTATTTCTCATTGATCCTCCATAAATAGTTAAAGGGTCTTTGACAGAATTATAATCAACTTGCTCATTCATATCACTTATCCTCTTATGATATCCTCGTCGTCAAGTATTAATATAATCTGATGATCAAATCATAACATGATACACATAAGATCGATCTAGTGATGGTTTTACGTGAGCTTACTATTTAAACTTAGATTAGTAGTAATGCATTTATCAAGTCCTTATAAAATATTTGAGTGATGGAAGATTAAATTATTCGTATCAGGCTGCCTTGGAAGCAAAAAGAAAAAAAAGGTGATCGCCTCTTTTCGACCTCTCATTGACAACATTCTTCTCACATGAAGCATCAGTTATGTATGACTTGTTACGGGCAAGGAAGCAGAAACTGACATATAACTTGCTTTGCTTAGAAGTACAGATTGGCCACCGAAGGTGACTGATGCTCTTTCTCCTCTAGCACAAGTCCAAACAAGAGAGAAAAGGAAAAGAGAAGAAGAGAGAAGGATTCATGAACATTCATTTTGAGAGAAAGAATGTGTAAGGTGGGAGAGGTGGAGAGCACAATTAGAACATGAAAGAATTAACACCACCCAGCCTACCTTGTTCCTGAAGTAAAAGACCAACACAAGGGTGATGCAGTCGTAAGAAACAAGCAAAGGAGTGGAGATGTGTTCTGGGTGATGCTCCTAAATGCTGCCTCCTTTGGGTCTCTCTTTCTTGATCGGAAAGTCTTTGTTTTCCTCTGATTGATCATTGATATTACTTCTTGCTGTCACTCTAAAATTCTAAGAGTAGAGTATTTTTTTTCTATACTCTCCTGCCTGTTCTAATTAAAATCAATGAATTCTTTCATTTCTATTGGAATTCTTCGACGTTGTGCATCTTTGAAATCAATCAAAAACTGATAACATCAATGCTTCTGATCCAAAATCATTTATATTTTCATTGAACTTTAAGAATAAGAAAGATAAATTCAGTCACATCCATGATTAACCGAAAGAGAACGAAAAGAAGTTTTTGATCTATCAAATCCTTCGATCGAGTCTCGCTTGTCATTAGATTATCTCTCAAGCGAAAAATTCAAATTGGATCAAAATTTGTGATATAAGATCATGGAAAACATACTATTATCTACTTTTGAGAATTAGGCCAAGAATTCTATCAGCGTGAGCCCATGAATTAGTTTTTGCTTGAGAAGCTACAAATTTATAAGCACTATGGACTATCACAACATAACCTGAAAGGAATCCATCTTAACGTTATTCGCTAAGAATGTTATTTTTGAATCCATCAAGATTGTTGTATTCACTATAATACTATAATTCAAAAATTATTTGATATATGAAAGATAATAATAATAATAATGAGTAAAGCTTAGGAGATGTTAGCTATCTCAGGCGACAAAAAACTCTACCTTTCAATAATCATTTTGTTCATAGCTTTATGTACAAGTCCAAACAGCCATCATTAACTCTAGACAACATCTCACATCAAACCCACCTTAGTTGTTCTACTTTTAATCAACTTGTCAACCTTAGCAAAATAAAGCTTCAAACTTTAAATACTGACTGATTCACTATTTCTATTAAATTATTTGAATCTAATAAATATTACATCAGAATTGCATGATCTTGGGTTCCTTATAAAAATCATTTTCATGATCTTGGGTTCCTTATAAAAATCATTTCCAAATATGTTCGTCTAGCGGAATAAATCTATACATATGAGATAGGAAATTTCACTTCATCTTAGGGACAGACACTTAATCCTTTATCTTTTTTTTCTTTATTTTTTTGAGATGGAGTGGTAGAAGCTCCTATCACGTACTTGGAAAACAGATGTAATTAAGAAATATAGCAAAAGTTTATGATGAATGTGGAAGTTGTGAAGGCTTCACAAGAAATGTAACTCTACTACATACAAAAGTAGGTCATCCTGCTAAAGTTGGCCAGAAAATTTACCAAAAAGTAATTTGACAATTGAATAAAGATAATAAAGTAAAAAAAAAAGACAAGGATATCAAATTTATGTGATTCGATCAATTAACCTACGGATGGAGGAGAAGCAAAACTCTACTGTAAAAAGGATAATTACAAATGTCTTAGGAAAATATACCTAGGTCATCAAACACGAAACTATTAAATAAGAAAAGCCCAAACTATAAGCCCAAACTATTTTAACTAAGTGTGGACTTAATAGAAATTAAACCCAAAATAAACAATTAGGTTTTTCTTGTAATGCCTCTAGCTTCAAAGCCCAAACCCTTATTTATAGTTGCAATAGGAGATAACAAGCTTGATTTTTCCGATGTGGGACTATATGGGGCTTGCCAAACTAACAAATATCCACCTTAGCATTTTCCAACATTGATAATTAACAAAACTTACTTCACCTTCTTCACAAAAGCCCTAACGGGCAATTACCAACAATGAACACCAACCAATTATCATTCGTATGAATTTTCTGAACAAGGACCTTTCCCTCAGCAATGGTATCCCAAATAAAATGAAATTTCATATCGATGTATTTCGTCCTCTCATGATACATCTGGTCTTTAGTCAAATGAATAGCACTTTGACTATCACAGTAAATTATAGTAACATCTTGATGCAGACATAATTTGCTAAACAAACCTTTTGACCATAAAACTTCTTTGATCGCCTTTATCACTGCCATATATTATGCCTCTGTAGTAGATAAAGTCACGACAGGTTGTAAGGAAGCTTTCCAACTAACTGCACAACCGCCAACGCAAAAAACATAGCTTATTAAAGATCTTCGTTTATCAAGATTCGTAACATAATCAGAGTCGATGAAACCAACCAAAGTGTCACGATTTTTTCCAAACTCCAAACAAGCATCTGAAGTCCCTTGCAAGTATATGAGAATCCACTTCACAGTCTGCCAATGTGTTTTACCTGGGCGAGACATATATCTTCTAACCACACTGACTGCTTGTGAAATATTTGGACGAGTACAAACAATTGCATACATAATACTGTCGATGGCACTAGAATATGGAACTAACACCATATATTCTTCCTCTTCAACTAATTATGGTGATTGAGTAGTAGATAGCCAAAAATGGCTAGCAAGAGGAGTACTCATTGGCTTAGCATTTTTTATGCTAAACCTCTCTAGGACTTTCTCTAAGTAATTTTTCTAGGTCAGAAATAATTTTTCAACTCCTCGTTCTCTTTTGATC